CGGTTCAAATCAACTCTTTTTCAAGAGTTCTTCCAAAACTCGTTCAGAGTTATCAACCCGATCAGAGTTCAAAACTTGCTCTGCAAGTTCTTCTAGAACTCGTCAGAGTTATCAACTCGATCAGAGTTCAAAACTTGCTCTGCAAGTTCTTCCAAAACTCGTTCAGAGTTATCAACTCGTTAAGAGTTATTTTCAAACTTGCCACGCAAGTTCTCCACAGCGTCAAATCGTGAGGAGAAGACATCGTTCCAGTGAATCAAGACGTTCGGATCGTCAACGGAGAGCAAACTCGACGCGAGCATTCGAGGGAGGCACTCCATCGCCACCGTGAAGAACCCAGAATTAAATAAAGGGGAGAATCAAATTCATTCTCCTCTCTTTTGTAATCGGAATCCAAATTGTAATTGATTTTGAGGGAATACAAGTCAAATTTTCTTTCATTGTCTTTTACCGCAAATTTCCAACAAACACTATACTTTCTTCATATTATCTTCACTTGATTTCTATACTAATTATGAGAGAACTAAAGAGTCTCTAGTCAATTTCCATAAATTCTACTGGATCTGCGCAAAGAAAACCAAAATTAAAACGGAAAATTACCTGGATACATCAAATATCCATTAACGATACATGAACAATATGAACAAATACAACACAGCTTTCAGTATAAATATTCATCCAAGAACTATTAACCATACATGAACAATATGCACAAAAGTATAGCTCTGCTCATGATAAAAGAAATAAGTACAATGTTGAAGGCTTGTGTCGTAATGTCTACACTTTAAACCTAAGGGGGACTTAGTTTTTTCTTTTTTTTTCTTTTTGTTTTTTACCCTCCTTATTTCTACGTCGAAGTTTAAAATTGTGACTAGTTAAATCTGATTGGGTTAAAACATTTTTTATTAATTTGCAATGAACAATATTGAGTTACTTGTGATGTGAAATGATGTCTGTTTATGTTGGGTTTTTTTAAATCAAAACTACATAAATTCTATATTCTATGCTTAAACTTTGGCAAAAATTGGCATTTAGGTAGAACGACATTGTGAACATTTGACATTATATTATATATTATAAACCTAAACAAAAATCATGACATTCAGACAGAAGGGCATTGTGAACATTTGATGTTATATTATAAACTTAAACAAAAATTATGGTATGTACTATTTCTTGCATTATTTTGACTAGTGCTATCAACGTGGTAAATATTCATGCTTTATGACCTACTTAAATTGATGATTTGAGCTGTAGTGGACGAACAATCTTTGTTTACACATATTGCTAGAGAAAACAAACTTGTTTACTCTTGAGAAGGTACTTCAAAATTCGCCTGTGTTGGTAGACAATACTTTGAAGCAGCATCACAGGAAATAATAGAATATTAATGTAATTATATAAGCAATCTCAGAGTCTGCGTATCTACACAAATGACCTTGAGATTGTTAATTGTAATATCACGAGTAACCTCAGAAGTAGCTAGTCATTTGGGCTTCAAGGTCACCCGTGTAAATATAATTAGTAGGTTGTCATTTGGGCTTCAACCTCACCACTGTAATTACTAATAGCAATCTTAGGATCGGTAGATACACCAATGTAATTACATCATACCTCAAGATACCGAAATGCGATTAATCTAAAATTATAAGAAAATTACTATAAAAATCTGAAGTACTTTAAATATTTGGGCACAGAAAGCATGTGATGAAATTAATTAAGATAGTTGGCTTCTTAACAGTTGGATAAAACAAAGACGAGAAGAAAGATGGGAGGAAAATTTGCAGATGTTTAACTGTATAATTGTATGGCTCAAAACCAACTCGTATGCATAGTGTCTTCATAAGATTTGTATTCGTTTATGTGACATCCATCACAATCTATTATTACTACATGTATACCTTAAGACAAAACCACCCTCCTCAAAACCTACCAGAGATTGACACGTCAGCATTCATTTTCTATAATTTAATTTCCACCTACCTTTAATCTCATCCATCCAACTCCTTAATAATTTTCTAAAATCTGTGTCAACGATGAATGACGGCAAGGCCCTCTCTTCATCTTCACGGATCTTGAAAAGAAGAAAGTTATACATCCCTAGTAGTAGAAATTCCACTTTCTAAATTACAACCTGTTAGACACTTCTTGTGTCTAAGCTTTTGTATTTAATAATCTTTTGGACTTTTATTTTTAATGAACATTTAGCCTCTGTTTTTCAATCAAAAAAAAAATCCCACAAAATTACCAGCCATAAATACTAATAATAATAATTGTAACAATGAAACCTATGGAGAATCATATTCCATAACAATCTTCATAATCTCCGTTACTTAATAATCTCAATAAATCTTTCCTAATTTCTTGCTATTATTTGAAATTTTTTCCAATTTCCTTTTACATATTTGATAATAAAAATATTTATTTTAATCCCGATTTCCTTTCATAATTATGTAAAATATTATAATAACATAAATAACAATAGTATGAGATAACAATAGATAGTCCATTCAGTTTCCCAAAATAAAATAAAATTTGAATTCAAACTAAAAAAGGGAAAGGGAAACATTCGGTAATTTTATTTTTTTGGTAAGATTTTTTTGGCTATGGATGAATCTTATTTAACCTCTACTTGATCTTTTTATTCAGGAAATGACAATCTTTTTATTCAGGAAATTATTCGGTTTTGGTTGCATGATTATTTATTTTTCTTTGATTTTTGACTATTTTTAAAGTTTTATATATCGGATTTAAACTATGGTTATCTAAATAAATAAGCTTAAATTCAAGATCAAAGATAATTTTTTGAATTCCAGGTAATATCTTTGAAACTGCTTTGATTATACTCTAATTTATTTTTAAAGTTCTATTTGGTTCAACTATGATTATCTGAACAAATAGGCTCTAATTCGAGATCAAAGAGACAGTGAGCTGAGATATAGTGAATTACATAGGTAAGTTTTTGTGATTTTATTTTATTATTATACTGTAATTTTGTTTAATTATTTTTAAAATTAAGATTCTTAATGTGAACTCATATTAAAAGTATCATTCTCTTTAACTTTGTTTTTACCTATTTTTTAAATTTGAGTTAAGCCAATCTGGATGCGTCGCATTAATTATTCTTTTCTTTTGGTTTTAGTTAATTTTAAAATTTTATTTACATTAAAACTATTGTTATCTGATCAAACCGTCCAATTTTCAATTATTGTATTCATTGGTTATATTATATATTATATTTCTTCTATATTATTTTAGTTATATTTTTTGTCTTAAATCTTTTCAATTATTGCTTGCTTATTATAAAACATAAAACTGGGCACACCGAAAAAATTATTTTATATTTTATATTTTATATTTTATATATTTATGTATTTTTTAATTATATTTTTCAGTTTAAATCTTTTCAATTATTGCTACCTGATTTCTAAGACTTACAAGTACTTGAGTTTTGATTAACTTGAGTTTTGACTATGAACTCAATTCAAAAGCTATAATTTGAAAATAGGATAGACGAGTAGCTGAATATTATTATATACAAAAAAGTTATTTTTTATTTTTTATTTTTTTAATATTTTTATTATATATTTTTATTTAAATCTTTTTAATTTTTGCTACTTGATTTTTAGAACTAAACAGTTTAATATTCAGTTACTCCATCTATTCTATTTTCAAACTATAGCTTTTGAATCGAGTTTGTTATCAAAACTCAAGTTAATCATCTCCTATTTGTAACTTTTTTTTTTCTACTCATCTGCTATATTTATTATTTTCACAAAGTATATAAAAATATAATTAATACAATTAAATAAGTGTAGTATAAATATTTTGATAGCATTAGTACAATAGTAATCTGTTAACTTTGAGAGGAAATTCAGACTAAATGAAGATTTATAATTTAGAAACTCACATAAACATACTAAATAACCAATTTTAACTACTAAATAATAAATTTGATTTTTTACTATAAAAAATTGTTGAACAATGATAATTAGAGATTATCTTTAAAATTTTTCCTATTTATTTTGCAAAATTACAGCATATTTACATGTTACTTTATTTTGGAATTTTTTGAATTTTAGAATGAAGGAGAAAACGTATAATATAACTAATAACTAATTAGTTGGTATTTATTAATTTTATCTTTATAAGGAAAATAATATCTTTATATAAGGAAAGTATTATTAATAAACTTATCTTATAAGGAAATTATTATTAATTAATTGACTACCAAAATATCTTATTAAATTTATATATATATACAGAAAATCTTATATTTATATAAAGAAAGTATTATTAATTTTTTTACGAAAAATCTTATTAACTATAAAAATTAACTACAAAAATATCATTAGCTAATATCTTATTAACTAAAATTTTTGAAGATATCCATTCCAAAAATTTTATCTTTAAATATACGGAAATACCTCCTTATATCTTTATATTTACGAAAAAGCTAATCTTTATATAAGAAAAATATTATTAACTTCATACAAAAAAATATTATTAACTAATATCTTATTATCTAAAATTATTATTAACTAATATCTTGTGGAGATATTTTATAAACTTGAGTTACATGTTGCAAATATCATAAAGTCACCCGCCGAAATCTGAATCATTTTAAGGGTGACATATGAAAAAACTCATCTTTTAAAATTTTAAATGAAGATGTAGAATTTAAAAACCACACAAATATTCTAAATAACCAATTTCAAGTAATAAATAACAAATTTAGATTTCTTACTATAAAAAATCGTTGAATAATGATAAGTACCAGATTGTTTTTTAAAAATCGAGGTATCAAAATGGGCGGGTATGAGATGAAATTAGAAATGACACGTGCATGTTTAGTATTTTCTTTAAAGTAAGATAGCGAAACACGAAGTTTTTATTAGAAATGTAATTCTAGAAGCAGGTCTGGCTGACCTAAACTGCACTTGCATTTCAATTTCATGCTCTTACTTTGCTATTTTGAAAAGCATGCACTACCCCAAGAATAACAGTAAAAATCTTAAACACATTGCAACCGTTCACTGTGGTCATGCATATGATCAGGCGTTGCCTCAGCAAACTGTACTGGATTTTATACAATGTGAAGACAACTCTACCGCTGTACAAGGAGTAGATCGATAGATTGGTATCAGAGTACTGCAGAGTGGAAGAAAGTGTATCTACTGAAAGCTCACACAATGAACAATCACTCGCGATAGAAAAAATAAAAAAAATATTATCAACATTTATTCAAAGGAATTGCTTCCATTGCATCATTTTTTTTTTCGCATATACGACTGGTTTGTCCGAGTCCTTGCTACTATCATTGGCAACTGATGCCCTTTGGAATTGAGCTACTTCCACCTTCTCGTCGCATAAGGCTTCTGGAACTGTTTGTCTAGAAAAAGCTTCTCCATGCTTCTGCAGAGCCAAGTGCCCAAAATATCACTAAATCATGGAAAGTCCAGACCATCATCAAATAGGATAAAAAAACATA